TTTTTTATCCATTTTAGTTTTCACCCTCTGACTGCTGAAAACTGCTGTTGAAATCGGAGATGTTGGTCGTCTCAGAGTTCATCTAAAGGTCTCGGTCTGGTCAGCTGGCCAGAGGGAATGAGCTATTTGTTTGGTTCAAGTACGCTGGACCAGCTCAAGGACGTTGGCTGCAAAGCGGCCACAGAAACCGGTGCGTCTCCATATGAATTCAGTCACATGGTAAAGTACTCCAGACTGGGGCTTTAATAATATACTATTTGCCACAGTATATTGCATATACAGTACATTGTACAATAATGACACAAAGGAAGGCAGCATACTCCATCTTTGTTAATCTGGCCAGACAGTATTTAAATATAACACAGTGTAACAGTTTCAGCCACTCCTGCTCTCAGTCGTCACTCCGACATTTTATTCAGACTACTGGCTGTCAGGGGAAATAAGGGCGGATTGTACCGGTCGGCTTCTGCAGACGATGTGTGCGCTAAACATATTTTTTGGCTTTGTATTTGTATGTGTGTAATGATAAACATGAAAAGTGTAGTAAAACGCTGTGATTTTGGCCTGACATACTGAGTTTTTCCTACCACGTCCTGGTTTGACCCTCACTGTCTTGGCCTTGTGTTGCTGAATTGTCTGAATCCCAGTTTGGCCTGGCGTGTCTCTGCATTACCGTGTGTGGTGTGACTGGTTCCAGTGCGTGTAAAGTCTGCGGTATGTGAATGGCCTTCCTGACAACGGAGGGGTGTGTTTGCACTTTGCCCGTTTCGTCTGTCTGCGCCGGACCCTGTGGCTGTGATGTTTGCATCGTCTGTGGGATGAGAGCGCAGGGCGGTCCGCCGGGGTCTTTCATGGCCATGCTGGCCCCCACCATGGCCGGATAGCTTCGGTTCCTCCTCAGTCCTGCATTCAAACCCGGGAGCCCGCCACCCAGGCCGCTGGAGCTGAAGGGCGCCAACAGACCGCTCCCGGAGGAAACCGAGGCGGAAACAGCGGAGAGCGTTCGGAAGCGTTTCAGCTTGTCCACCAGTCCGAGGTTCGCCACCTCGTTCTGGCCGTCTTCGTCCGCCTCGCCGTCGTACTCTCTCTCCAGATCCATCAGCACTTCCCTCAGAATGGTGCGAGCCGGCTTGGAGGCGAGGAAGGCGTCGTAATACGGCGGATCCTCCTTCGAAGGGCTGAACTGAAACGCGGGCCGCGCCGTGGCGGCCGAGGCAGATTCTTGGGGCGGGGAGCTGGGAGGGGAGCAGGGCTGAAGAAGGAGCGTGTCCGGTCGCCTCACCGGCGGTCTGACTTCATTCTCCCCTGACTTGGCTGCGTCGCTCTGCACCTGCACGCTTCCCGTGGGCGTCGAAGCGCCGCTGGCACCCAGCCCTCGGTCCCAGCTGCAAGGATCGTACACCGAGGCAGAAATGCCACGCTCCAGCAGGAGGCGCACGAGGCCTAGGGAGGTGCTGGTGGTCTTGGTGGAGTCTCTCAAGTTGGTGGAGGACTCGCTGAGGGAGAGCGACAGGGAGAGGCGGCGCGGGGTGCAGCAGGGGGTGTAGGAGGGCGTGTGCGGGGCCGAGAACGGCACGGGAGAGGAGGTGTGGGTCGGAGTGCCGATGGCAGAGCCGCTTTGGCAAAACACTACCGCAAGGCTGGAGGCGTAAAGAGGAGAGGAAAAGTAGAAAAGAAGGCATAAATGACAGTCATCAGGTGAAAAATGCTCGAGTTCAGAAACAGATGAACTCGATTTATTAATAATCACCATAATACATCTGCTTAACAACTGAGGAACAGAGAGCACTGTGAGTTTTCTTCTTCTTCTTCTGAAAGGCTTTTCTGCAAATCCTCCAATGAATTTTAGTGAGAATACCTTCTTATGATATAGTAGAGAAAAACAGCAAGGCCTAACAAAAACTGTGGGGCACAAATTGATCAAAACATTTTGATCTCTACTACAGACGTTCTTCAAAAATAAAGCTTGTAAGGCTGGTAAAGGTTGGAAAGAAAAAAAAAAAATTCAATGTCTTCGATCTGCACAAAACCACAGACGGTCTTTCTCCCTTTCGGGGCTCAACACAGCTGCTCATCTGCCTGCATCTCATCCAGTTCCTGCAGCCTTCGTGTTCACACCACATCTCTGCATACGTTGCTCCTCTAGACTCACTCATTTTCTGTCCTTCCTACCAGCTTAGATATTAAATTATTATCCAGTGTGTACAGTATTGTGTCACTTCACATATCAAGACTGGTCAAGCTGCAAAAATTTATCAAAAAGCAAAAGATTAACTTCTAATTTCACAGGCCAATAAGTGAGAAGTCACTTTTGCTCAAAAAGACCACGGATGTCTGACAGCTTTTAGTAAAAACTGCATCAACGTGTCAAAACATGCACGACTCATTTTAGTTTAAACAAAGTAGGTTTAGAGAAACTTGCATGCAAACCCACTGATATTTTCTGAGCTAGAAACATCGACAGCAGCGCAGCGATCGTGTCGAGCTTCGTTCCGACTCCGTAATCATTAGATTTCAAGCATGATTAAAATATTTGTTATTTTGAGGTGTCTGCAATGTAGCATTTTTTTTTTTGTTTTGTTTTTGTTTTTCAGCAATTTCCAAACCTCGTTACAAAATAAGGCAAAAGTCAATTAAAAAACATTCAGTGGAAAGTCAGTGGGTACGACAAATGCTTTCTCAAACTGGATTTGAACTTTCTGTAATCATTTCGTCCCAAAAGATTTTAACAGGCCTGAACACTGTTTTCGTAATTATTATTTCGTAATTATCGGTATCCATCTTAAAAAGAAGCTTGTGCACACTGGATTAGAGAGCAGATTTAGAGGCAAACCCTGACGTTACTCAGGTTCAAACACACCCACACAAGGTCTTTAGAGATGCACAGCCATGCACGTTCTCACCCATCTGCACACTGAACAGTGCTTTCAATGGGTCTGCTCTAATCCTGCCAGCAGAGCTATGTGATACAGCTCCGGCTCGTCTTCCTCATCACATGACCTGTCGAGCCAATCACACAGCAGGGACACAAACACTTGAGCGACCTCCTGTGACACCAAAATGTGTTTCGAAGAAAAAAAAAAACAAAAAAAAAACGAGAGAGAAGCGTCCAGCTCCATTTAATTTGTGTAAATTAACAGCGATTTGAAGTGAATATTTAAGGAACCCAAAAAAAAAAAAAAAAAAAAAAAAATCCGGCTGAAAAAGTGCGCTTTGGTAAATATTTGGGTGTTACGTTACCTGGGGGACACAGAGGTCAGCTGGTCAGACGGGTGGAGAATCCTGCAGGTGGTGAAGGTGTAGGTGGAGCTGGTGTGGGACAGACATTTCCCTGGGAAATGGACTGGAGGAGGAGAACAAAATAAAATTCCGTCAGCCGTGATGAAAAATGCACCAAAAATCATACACTGTAAAACTGCATGTCGTAAAGAAAGGGGGAAAATAGATCGCAGTCACAGTTCAGACCCCAGGCGAAAGCACCAGTTTTAATTAGCCCCGCTTTTGTATTTTTCAACTGATTTCAACATCTAATGATCTTCTCAGTTGTTGAAAGCTGACCTCCTGCATTCAAGTTAAATGCAAATAAATCGAAAGCAATTAAATAAAAAACAAGAAGAAAAAAAAAAAATTCCCCCTCCGAATCAAGATTCGAAGATTCGAGTGAAGCAAGGATAGAAAATGAAGGGATGAAGAAGAAACAGATGAAAGTTGCATTCTCTAAATGAATCTCAAATGATCACAGCTACATGCAGATATTGTCAAAGACCAAACGTGCTCAGGTCAGGGTTAGTGTGTGTGCGAGCTGGTAGAGGTGACCCTCTGACAGAGCTGCTGAATTAGCTCCGAGCAGCTCCGAGCGTCGCGCTTTCACGTGACACAGAACAGCTGCGGTCGCAACACCTGATGCAGCCTTGGCGCGCGCACACAAGCCAGCGAGCAAACTGGATCCAGATACGATGATACATCTGTATCTCTGCACTGCGTCAGTCATGTTCAAACTCTCATTTTTTTTGTTTTGTTGTTACATTTTTAGAACTTTGCAGGTTTTGGTTTGAGAAACTTGCCAGGCCCTGAAGGAAGTGAGAGCAAAGCAAAGGCGGCGTATGAAAAGGAGAAACTGAGAAGGAGAAAAGAAAAAAAAAGAAAAAAAAAAAAAAAAAAAAAAAAGTACTCTGCTTGGACGGAGGCGGACGGCTGTGTGGATAAGGCGTGGCTCCTGGCTCGAGCGGAGGTTGAGTGTGATCATGCAGGAAGTGTTGCCACGTTACAGCTGCGAAACGTCCAGTGAAAGCCTTCCCTTCACTCCTTCCACCCTCCCACCCGTCTTCCTCTGCCCGTTCCTTCTATTCTCCCCGTGCTCCAGATTTAGTTTCATTGGGTTTCTCTTTTCCTGCTAAAACGCTCCCTCACCAGGCATGCGGTCCACAGTGGCGGGTTGCAGGGCCTGGAGCTCCTTGAGGTCCGTGTGCCTGCTGCGCTCCGAACAAGAGGGAACGGGTGAGGACGGGGAAGGGCGGGAAAGGGGAAGGGGCGCGCCGGCGACGACTCTGGCGACGACTCCATCTTTTCCTTCCACTGCCTCTTTCGGACCACAAATTGCTCCATTCAGTCCTTCTAGCTGGTTGCTGCCCTTGATGTTGCAGCAGGCGGAGCCGACGGCGGTAGAGCAAAGGGAACCTGTCGGAGCGGGGCTCTCTCCTGACGAGCCGGTGAACGGGTCACACGACGCCTCGTCCTCCTCCGGCTGGTCCAGCTGCCAGCTGTCCTCCTGCTCCTGCTCCCGGTCCTGCTCTAAAGTGCGAAAGCCCTTTGTGACCACGCCCGGCCGATGGTCCAGCAGAGCCCCCATGTGTGGCTGAGCCAGCTGCTGCCATGCGTGCAGGGTAGCAGAACCTGCACAAGTAAAAAAGGAAAGCTTTATGTTACCGGAAAATACGCTAAAGACACTCTAGATGTACAGCAATTCACAATAAGACCATTTCAGCTGTGCTTCTACCTGAACATATGTGACACAATGAGCTGCAGGTTTATAAACCTGTTGAGAAATCAAACACTGGGGTTTATTCCTTAGCAAAACTAACATTTAGGTCTGAAATGTGCAGTGAATGAACAGGAATGCTAACAACACAGGAAGTTAAAAACCCACCACACATCCTGAATCAGATTAGCTTGTGAGAGTTAGCTCTGTTAAGCTGCAGCACTATTTTCCACTGAACAAAATATATGACCAGCATAAAGATAATAATATCAGAAAAGATAGTCTCCATGTTTTAACTGTCTAAAAAGGGCAGACGGCAAAGTGAGCAAAATGTCTATGTTAAGTTTCAGCACTTTCGTTATTTTGGGTGCTTTTTATGTAAAATGTGGGAACATGTGAGCGTATTAACTGGGGGAAAAACAAAAGAGACAAGAATATAAGGAATGGAAGAGGAGGAAATTAGATTTTATTAGGGAAGTTGTTTACAAAGAAAACAGAAGTCAAATGGAAGAAGAAAGAATCAAATGAAGAAAAGAAAGCTCAAAAAGAGACAGAGGGAAAAGAAAAGCGGCTACAGATGAAAGAGAGAAACAAATGTGTAAATGTCACGATTCAGAAGACAGATGTCGTGCTAATAAATATTTTGCTCATGAGGACAGAAGAAACGACACAGAGAGCAGAAACAAACCTACAGGGATGGTGAAACGGTGACAATAATCTACGAACTTGTCACGTTTTGCTACGTTACGGTCACACACTTCAAGGCACTTTATCACAAAAAAAAATCCCAAAAGACACAAACAGGAGGAGCAGAGCCAAAAATGAACAAAAAATATACAT